GCCAAGTTTCAAATGTACAGCCCAACGCAAAAATGCATCCGCGTCTTCCTGCACTATTTCAGCATCGGCACTGTGGAATTGAATATTTTGATGGATCAGAAATCGCTGTCTTTATTTATCATATCAGTCAATTTAACCTGTCTTCATTTAAGTCCAGTTACCATTGACACTGAGGTATGCACTAATAAATATATATATATAGTGTAATACTTTATTAATCCTTTAGGGAAAATGAGAGAGGCAGATATGCCGGTGAGAGCTAGTTTGGTGTCACAGCAAAGGGTCAGCCAGCTTGTAGCAGCCAGGGAGCTGGGGGTCTTGCTCAAGGGCCCAGGGACGTGTGACTGTTCTACCGAGGCTGGTCCTCAAACCAGTGACTTTCTGATCACAGGCACAGTGGTTTAGTCCACAGAGATACTTATATATGTATGTGAGTGATTTTAACCATTGATGCCCAATTACTGATTATAGGAAGTATATGAAATCAAGAGCCCTATTTAAGATTATGAAGGTTTTTAAAGATAAGTTTAATACAAAACAAAGACATAAAGATAAGAAAACACAAGGACTATTATTATGTAAAACAGCTAGTTAAAGTTTTCAAATTGATCATGATGGTTTGGCCCTCCATTTATTAATAAAAATTTAAACCTAAAAACCACTGTCAGCAAGAGATCTGACATATTAGATTTTGTTGATATTTTGTCGCATTTATATTTACTTTGAATAATTTATCATTACATTTATTTTAATGAAGATCTATTTGCAGTTATGACTTGGGAAAAAAACACCCAAATCTAATAAAATAACGTGCTACTTCTGTTCGCAGTGTGTATGTTTTGAAATTGAACAGAATATTTTCAAGCTATAAAATTGCCGTTAAGAAAAGTACAAAGTCTACAAGGTTGCAGACATTTTTTTGATTCTTTTAAACATTTTTAAGTATTTCAGAGAACCCCCCTGATTTTTTTAAATGTACAATATCTTTAGAAAGAACCAGACTAGTACCAATTTTGAATAATCAGAATATTTTAATAGAATGTCCAAAGTTTTATAACAAAAACATACATTTTCAACTTAAGTGTAGTGATTTCACAAAAATAACAGATAAGCTATGACTTAAGCAGCATTTAAGACACCCTTCCGTAATATTTGGTTGCACAACCCTTAGTAACAATGACAGCCTCCAAATGTTTGTTGCTGTCCATAAGCTTCCTGCACCTGCCTGCTAGTAGTTTCTCCAACTCTTCAACTGTAATTTGCTTAAGTTCTTGAATGTTTGCAGAACTCCTTTCCCCAATGGCAATTTCAACTCTCTCCAAAGATTTTTGGTCAGATTGTGATCAGGACTCATTGCTGAGCAGTTTAAAACAGTGCAGCGTCCTCTTTAAACCACTCTTTTGTCCTTTTAGAGGTGTTCTTTGAATCGTTGTCCCGAAGGACCCATGATCTTTGACCCAGACTTAGTTTTCTGACGCTGCTCAGCACATTTTGCTCTGAAATGCCTCAGTAATCCTCTGATTTCATGAGTACTTTAATATGTTAAAGGCCTTGAATATCAGAGGCAGCAAAGCAACCCCACAATATTATTGACCCTTCACCATATTTAACTGTCGATAGGGTGTTCTTTTCCTCACAAGCCCTTAAACAACTCATTAGTTTACTTTGCTGAAAAGCTATACTTTGGCTGAATCTGTGCATAGGACATTTTCCTGAAAGATTGTGGTTTCTCTTCGTAGGTTTTGGCAAGTATCAGTAATGTCTTTTAATGTTTTTTCCCTTTCAGTAGTAGTAGTCTTCTCCTTGGTCTTTGCCCATAAAGCAATTCTTCGTTTACTGTTGGCATATGGGACAGGTTGAAACCATCACTCCAGGTCAGGCTTAAATCCTGTGGATGTTATTTTCTCCACTGCCTGAAGACTTCTCTAATCAGTTTTCTTTTACATTACTGCACGTATTTGACACTTCTATCCAAAGCACCTCACACCAGAGGGAAGGGTTACAGGTTACGCTTGTGCTTACTGGGATTTGAGCCCATAACTTTGTATTGTTCATACAATGCTTTACTTGTTAAGCCAACTTAAACTTCTTAATAACTATGCAAACTGTTGGAACAATGATGCCAAAGTCTTTGGAGATGGCCTAGTACCCTTTAAAAGTCTTATTTTTGGTGATAGTAACTTTCTCAGACAGCTCTCTTGTCTTTATCATTATGAATAAGGAACAGGAAATAAAAGTGGCCCTTTGAAAAATTGAAGCCATTATTCATTGGGTAATTCAAGTTCCGTGCACACTGAAAATTTATGACAGGTGAATCTAATATCACAGCAATGGAAATCTGTTTCTTTTTTTCCAAACAGATTTGACTTCTCCAAAAGCAATGTTTCCATTTTCATACTTTTCCCTCCCATTCTTATTTTTAATTATCATTTTATCCTGTGCTGTTCTGTATCAAACATGTTAGTGCAGTTAGACCTAATGCTTCACTACACATTTTTCCAGGAAATATTGTACATGGTGTATGTATAATTCAGGGGTGCCAGTAATGTTGATCAGAACTGTGTGTGTGTGTGTGTGTGTGTGTGTGTGTGTGTGTGTGTTTCAGCAGTATTCTTTCTTTCTATCTTTCTTTCTCTTTCTTTCTTTCTTTCTTTCTTTCTTTCTATTTCTTCTTGCTTTACTTCTGTGCTTCATGTGGAATCAATTAGCATTTAATGGTAATGCCAGCCCCAGGCATCCTGCATGTGTGTTGTGAGAAAGTTCTGGAAGAAAGGTTGCATATGGAATGCATTACTCCAATTGCTGCTTCATAGAAATAAAGTTGAGGGTGAGGTGGGTGGGATTTCCTTTTGGATTTCTCCCTAACCCTCCCTCTCTCATTCCCGCTCCATTACGGATAGTATAAGAAAGTTGCCCCGCTTTTAGGAGTTGCATAATTCATCACAAGGTCAACCCCTTTCTCAGCTGTGCCTTCACAGAATATGCTCTGAATTACAGTCCAGCGTGAACCATAAGAAAATCTCTTGCATTTCAATCTGAAACAAGCCAGTGTGCAAGACCTTATGCCGTACATGCCTAACAAAAGAGACTGAGAAAGGAGATGATTGAAAGTATTTGGTGTGATTTTGTAGGAATTTGTTGTTGATTGCACTGATGGTACTTTCCAGAATATCCCTTTTGAGATACACATTATTATTGCAACAGAGTTTGAAGTCAGAATGTGTATGTGAAGTTAGTGATTCCCTGCCACTCGCACACGGCGCAGGTGCAGAGAAATAACTGGCAATACAGTCATTAGGGATGGTAGGGCGTAGATTTGGGTGTGGATGGTATGGAGATGTGTGTCCACAGGGCGGGAGGTTCAGGGCTGATCTGGTACTGTACCTACCAATGATGAAACCAAACCTACGCCCTTGGTCGCAAAGCTTCTTACATACCATACACACAAACATGTGCTTCAGGTTATGAACATTAAGAAACCATATATATATATATATACTTCAAGGGACCTGGCAAAACAGTCCATTATATCCAAAGTCCGTTATATCCACAGTTGCTGTATGGCCAGAACACAACTACAGGACACCATTTACTCATGCCACACCTCAGCAGACACACTTGTGGTATAGATTATTATATTGTACATGTAGTAATCCAACTTTACCTGACCAGATGCGTGACTATTAATAATCCCGACTACGTACGTATCTGCGCTGGATATCACCGGCACGCCACACGCCTTGTAGGCGGAGCCTGTATGTCCGTTATAGCCGAACAAAACTACAGCTAAAAGTGGCCCTGGGGGGGGGGGGGGGGGGGGGGTTGGATTGTTTGTCCGTTATAAGCGAAATTCCGTTATATGCGAGTCCGCTATATCCGATGCTTTTTCTGCATGTTCTTAAAGGCGCACGGCCGGGACCAGCGGACCTCGTCCGTTAAAGACGAAATTCCGTTATTAGCGAGTCCACTATAGCGGGATTTTACTGTATATATATACTGGAATGGACATAACTGGTACGGACATTTTTTCGGGGGTGCTGTTTAGCCACTGCAGTGACCATGATTATGCTGATTTCAGGTCCCTTTTTGAAATAGGACATGGGAGATGAGGATAGCTGCACAGGTTACCGTGGAGATAGGACATCTTTGGTCAAGATCATTGAAGGGCTGGAGTCTGTTCCAGGCAGCAAAGGGCACTAGACTGGAGTACACCCTGGATGGGATGTCAGTGCATCACAGGGTATATATCAGTGCACACTCGCTGACTATGGGCAGTTTAGAGACTGCGCTTAAGCTAACTGCATGGCTTTGGACTGCAAACAGACACTGGAGTGCCTGGAGTTTACCCACATGACAGGGGGGGGGGGACTGTGCAGACTCCACACAAGCCTGCAGGTGTGATGCTCCAGTGTGAGGCACAGTGCCACCCCCTCCCCCAAATCTATGTTACAGATAAATTCTATCACTTTCACTTTTAGGGAAGTTGTTTGTTTTACGTCCATTGTGGGATTGTAAAGGCGAAAAGGGAAATGATTGCTAATGTGTATTTGTAGTTAGAGGATAATGCTTTTCGCAGATTGAATGATCCCTGTTTGTATTGCTCTTCCTTTGAAACGTCCTGGGAAACACAAGTCCTCTTTGCTTACCACAACAATCTGCACAGCCTCAGTGCTTGTGCGCCAATGTACAGAAACCACACTGTACAGCTGTTACTGTAGCAACGAGAAATCAGTAGCTGCCAACACATTTGAAACTATATGTGCTTGTTCGAGATTTTAAATTTCTGCATTGTGTGGCTGTTTTGTAATAAGTTACTGAGGTATTTTGCATTGAACTGCTTGGACCTTTGGGCATGCAATGAGGTACGCTGAATTTAACAAGTAACATGGCAGATTGGTATATGAATTGGAGCCTCCACCTTTTTTTTCTATTCAGCTAAAGCAGGTGTAATGATACGACTAGTGTAGTTTATGTAATGCTGGTTCTTGCTGTCGTTTAAGGTATATGCCCCACCTGCGACCACTGCCGACTACAACCGGGACTCACCTGTCTATCCATCCACGAAGGCCAGCAGCACCTTCCCCAGCTCCTTCTTCATGCCAGGTATGATCTGCTGTTATCGGTACCCATTCCACAATAAAATCAACAGATATGTTGTTCATATATATCATATCTCTTAATCTGGTAGTGAATTATTTATTTTTATGAATATTTTAGCATGTTAGAATTGTATATTTTACCAAGAATTATCCTGATTTATAGGGTGGTTGTACAGCGGTATATCTTTAGTCATTACTTAATAGACTTAATAATAGGATGTAATCTTTTTATACAAAAGATTTTGCTATTATGAATATTAGTCTAAAGTAATTAACTTAAAAAAAATTAAAATGTAAAACAAATTATGTTCTTTGTTCTACAGAATTGTCATCTCTAGAAGAAATTTTGTTAAAATATGAGCTGTTATACTAATATACTAATGAGCAATGCAATTTAATAGAACAGATTTTAACACTCAATTAGGTATTAATTAATTATGCTATGCTTATGTTATGAATCACACCAGTGTTGCATTGTTAAAAATTAAATTGCATGGTTTTATGTGACTTAAAACATTATTGTATTTCAAGGATTGCTCACGGTCTGCAGGGCTGGGGCGGGGGGGGGTTCTCCACGGTAAATTTTGCCAACCGGAGGGTCATGCTTGGTGAATTAGACTGAACAGGGGAGACGTGGTGTCTCTCAGTACCAAATGGTGGTGGTGATGATGGTGGTGGTGTTTGTGTGTGTGTGTGTGTGGGGGGTTTGTTCCGCAGTCCATCATTTCAGTACCCCTGTCTGTTGTCTCTAGTTGGTTTTGAAGCCTAATGAAGCTGTTCAGTAATTTGCCTGTTGCTATTGGTCATGTTTTTCATTGTACAGTATTGTTGATTCTCGATGATGCATAGCATTGATTCCCATCCTTTCAGATGGCCACCACAGCACAGACCCATGGAGCTCACCCAGTGGCATGAGCCAGACCAGTTACAGTGGAATGCTTGCAAATTCCTCTCATGGTTCCCAGAGCAGCAGCTACTGTGGCCTACATCCTCACGAGAGACTTGTAAGTATCCTCTACTGTTCCTCTGTACCTGCTTTTATCCCACTTATTTCCCAGTCCCAAGCTATTTAGAAATCAGGGACCATTTTATACTTCTTAAAGTTCTTTTTCACCTTTTAAGAAACCATTGTGACTTTCGCTATTCATCTGCCTTTCAGAGTTACCCGTCACACTCATCAACAGACATCAGTTCCAGTCTTCCTCCAATGTCCAGTTTTCATCGTAGTGGAGCAAATCACTACAGCACTGCATCCTGTACAACAACCACAAACGGAACAGACAGCATAATGGGTAAAAATAAATTAAGTGCTCTACATGAATGTAACAATATATAAACACACTTTTGACAGAAAGTAAAATTCTACAGTATACATTTATGAGTGTTATGTATTTTGTTAATAATTAATAATTTATATTATTAAATGGAAGAAAAAATAGTTTTCTTTTAAGATTCAGCATGTCAGACTGGAAATATTACTAAAACAAAATGTAATCAAAACAATGAAAATTGATCAGTATTTTGTAACTAATCATTTTTTTTCTTTGTGTAAAAATTAGTCAAAAATCAAGTAATGAAAATTGCCTTTCGCATATTATAAAATGAAGATCATTAGTTTCTTGCACTAGTCCCTTGCTGGCTTTGTCTGTAATGCTTTGATACAATGATATTAATTGACTTCATAATTTACCCGCGATATACAAATTTTCCCTCTCCCTGACTATTCTGAGTTTAAGCAATATGGCTGCAGCTCCAAGGCATTAGTTTTTAAAAATAAGCTTTAAAAAAAAAAAATCATTAAAACAATAAATTCCATGTAATCTGGAGTGTCCTTATATGAGCTGTTATATAATAACAGATAACAAGTCATTATATATCATCATTTAATTTTCCTCAAATTTTACCAACATAAAGATGACAGTAGTTTATGCTGAATGACGTTTTTGCACCAATGAGAAAGAAACTCCTTGTAACTTCCTTAATATTTTTATTCTTTATTGGGATAAAAGTAATTAAATGGTGATTTTGAGAGGAACATCGGTATGAATTGTTCATTTACTTTAACATGAAGATTTTTGCTTCAAAATGTTTAATAATGTTCAAAAGTTTTCAAATTTGCATATCGCTGAAACTGACCAGTAATGCAATTTTAAATTTAGTCGGTGCGTGTAAACAAGTACTTTTCTGAATTGTATTCATCTTTCCTTGTTGTTATTGTACTTCATATCTCTAAGCATGTTATCTCTGAAATGAATCGACAGTTAGCATGAAGTGCTGGTTTCGCTTCAGGTAACAGGTCAGCGGGTGCCCCTGCAAGCAGTTCCCAGACTGGTGACGCTTTAGGTAAAGCTCTGGCATCGGTGAGTAGATTCCCAATAAATTAGCTGGAGAGGTACATGTTATCCTTTATTTACACACAAAGTTAATACAGTTTGTGTGTATTACAGTCAAGTATTACTCTTTGTGTTTGTGGTGGCTATTACAGTCAATATGTTGAGTATTTTTCTTCAAATTTGCCATTTTCATTTTCAGTGTAAATTACCATCAAATGTTTCACTGTTCACATACTACACGTCAATGGCTAAAGTACTAAAAGTTTCATTGTCAATTATCATTGTCATCTATTTCGGAGATCATTAAAAAATATGATTGTATTTTTTTATTGGGAAAATGTAAGCATTTTTTTTGTTTTTCTATTTATTGTTTCATTATATGGAAAGGTTTTTAAGGCTATTTTGTAATAGTTTTGTTGTTGCAGATTTACTCCCCAGATCACACAAATAGCAACTTCTCATCTAACCCATCAACTCCTGTCGGATCGCCCCCTTCACTCACAGGTAAATGCAGGTAGAGGAATTAAAAACAGTCCTTCACATAATCCCTAATGTTCAGAGAGGTGCTATAAGCAGAAGCCACTGGTCAAACATTACTATTCTGAGCAGTTTATTCTATGACTCAGAAACAGGTGGTCCTCGACTTATGATGGCGTTACGTTCTGATGAATCTATCGTAAGTGCAAAATATCATAAGGGAAGTATGAATATGATATGATAAGTAAATTTCTACTATCATTGAATAAATAAACAAACAAATAACCTCTATAGCTAACTAAAAACCAGTAATTGAAAATTAAACACATGTATATGAGTTTAACTGGTTACACACAAAAACTCTGTGTAATACGTTGTTAAACACTGTGATGTTTACAGTTACGATCACGATAGAAGCTGTAAATGTGGCTCGGTGGACGCTGCTGTGCCCCAGCTTCAGTACCATGCGGCGTATCGCTAACCCATGAAGAGATCAAAATTCAAATTTTTCTCCTGAATGTGCATCGCTGTTGCCCCATCATAAACTCTAAATATTAAACCATCAGAAGGAAAGGAGCATCTGTAATATGCCCCTTTTTCCTCGTTGAATGTATTATTTTCCTCATGATGTTTATCATTTATATAATTATAAGCATTATATAATATAATTTATAAAGAATATATATATATATATCTATGTTTATATATTATATTGTATATTATATGTAATGTTATATATTATGTATTTAATAAAGTAATTTGGGGATCTATGAATGACCTGATTAAGGTAGTTTATGTTACTCATTGTTACAGTATATCATTATTGAACTAATAAACTAGCAAACTATGCATGATCCTGTAATGTTTGCATAACAATTCAGAACAAATCCTTAGTCAGGTGTGAGAAATGGAGTAACTAACACCTATGGAGTAGCCCATCACAGCTTACACAGTGCCATGAAACTGATATTTATTAATACATATCCTATGTACACTGATAACAAAGCCAACAATTCCTCAAAGGAATAGTAGTAGAGATCTCAGGGTCGGCTGCCCAGTTAACTGGTTAACTGTCCCAGTGCCAGGATTCCATATGTTTCTTATCAGGAATCAGGGATTTTTCCACAGAGGCATGTTTCCAGCATAAATCATTTATTACCGCTGAATGTATCTGCAGCTGTATTTAAGACGCTCAACCTGCCCATGGAAAAGGCATTGCCAATATTCATAGATTTCCGAGCAACTTATCTTTGATTTAAATTGGAAAAATTAGTTCCACTTTGTAAAATATCATTTGCATTGACAAATAGTCTTAAATATAAATGGTCTTCATCAAGTAATTGTACACAACAACATTACGTAGTAGTATAATATATCATTATGAATACATCCGGGGAAATGCAGGACTAATTTCTACTAATTCTTGTATTGGGTTTATTAGACAGCATAAACCCAAATGATTAATTTGAAAATAATGAACTGACATGTTACACTTAATTTACTGAAAATGTGTAATGTAGTGATATTAGTATTGATAACTTGTTGACTTGACCCGCAAAAGATAATGGAGGCAATAATTTGCTAATTAGCGTATGGCAATAAGCTTTAACAATAATAGCTAGTTGTGCCTGGTATATATAAATATGTAAGAATAACAACTTAAAAAAGAGACTAATATCCATAATTAAGGAATCTGATGCCATTCATACAGGCAGGTCACATTGGAAGAAAAGTGGTATTGAATGAATAACTTTATGCAGCTCCTTTTCCTGCCTATGTAATTCTACTAGCTTAATTTAAAGGGAACTCTTGGCAGTAGTTACACTTTATTTTACAAATTAAACAAATAAGGGGGTATTTTACGGTAGCCTTTATAATGAAACTCCTCTTTGCCTGCAAAACCATCCTGTTCTCAATAATTCATATTTCAGTGAAATAAAAGTGCGTTTCTTGTCCATGAGGCCGTGTCAGCAGAAGCAGCCGCCCCACGTTTTAAGAGTAGTGCTAAATCGGAGCGGAAATCAATCCATCAATCCATATCCCTTAGCAAATTTAACCAGGAAAGGACTGCAGCAAAAGACACTGGAAATTCTAGATGAATTGTGATTAACGCCCTTCAAAAAAAAAAAAAAAGTGAATCAAGTATTACATTCCAAAGAAAAAGAGACATGGATGTTGTGTTGTGGGTGACGGGGTCTAAAATTGCAGGCAGAACAGAACAGATTCATTACATCCTTCTATAAGCCGTATTCAACAGATTTCTGCTGTCAGAGGATATCAACAGTGAATCAAAGCCATAGCCACTAGTATTGGAGGAGGAAGACTTATGCATAGTATCTATCTATCATCTATCTATCTATCTATCTATCTATCTAATCTATGTATACAGTGTGTGCCTGTGTGTGTTTGTGCATATATATATGTCCTCACACATATGTGTATATGCCAGTCCATTATGGTCTCACTCCTCTTTTTTCTCTCCATGGCTTATAGCTACAAGCACATCAGTCTGGTCCAGAAATGGAGGACAGGGGCCCTCTTCTCCAAACTATGAGGCTCCATTGCACTCGTTGGTAAGCTGGTCATGCTGCCTTGATACCTGCGGGGGAGTCGTGCGGGAAGCTGACTTCCCTGAGCACCCTTTCCTTTTTCCTTAAGCAAAGCCGCATTGAGGACCGTCTGGAACGACTGGACGACGCTATCCATGTGCTGCGGAGCCATGCGGTGGGGCCTTCCCCTGGCATGTCCAGCAGCCATAGTGACATGCACACTTTGATAGGGTCATCGCATAATGGGGCCTTGAGCAACCTCAGCTCTGGATACAGCACAGGCATGCTGTCAGCCAACAGACACTCCATCATGGTGAGTACAGCTCAAGTGATGTGCAGTCAGAGAAAGCGTATAAATGCAGTAAAATCTGAAAAATCAAAAACAAATAATACACAGGTTTGTAATTATATCTTTGTGGGGACTCTCCATTCATTTCTGTGTGGAAACCTCTAATCCCAACATGACGACCTTAACCCCAACCCAGCCCTAACCTTAACCATAAGTAACCAAACAAAATATGAGACTTCTGGCATTTTTACTTTTTTGATTGCATTCGCAGATCTTTGTGGGGACCTGAAAAATGGTCCCCACAGTGTCAGAATAACAGGTTTTTGTTGCATTGTGGGGAACATTTGCTCTCCACAATGTAATATAAACCCAATCCTCACAAACACACATCATTTTACAGAATGCAGCATGATAAATTTTGGAATATGTGTTTGTATAGGACTAACTTGTGCTTCGTTAATGCTTTTCCTGTGCAGCAGTGCTTTGAATAGAGTAATGAGCAGACTTGTGAGCTCGTGCTCAGTTTCCTGTCTGGATTTGACAGACAATTACCACGTGCTTTTATCATAGGTACTATAAATATGTGACATGTTACAGTTGCATTGGACATGAATCCGGCAAAGTTGGGCAAAGGGAGGTTTGCCTTCTAGTGAAGCTGTCAATCTATGTCCTATTTGAGAAAGCAGGAGAAACGGTTATAGAGAAAGAGGCTTTTCTTATGGGACGAGGGACAGGTGAATACAAGCTAAAAACAGGAAATATCATTAGTCATCAGTTTCATCTGCTGCCTCTGACCGCTTGATATATTCCAAACACTTGAAAAGGAGAGGAATTGGGAGTGTGGGGCAGGAGGGGCCACAACTCAAAACATCAAGGAAGATTCTAGTAATCTTTTCCATATTCAAGGTTGTTTTTTTTTTAAACTTGAAACAAGTCATATAAAGTCTTAGCCAGCTGTGGAAAATAAAGTAGAGTGGGGGGTGGGGTTGGGGTGGGCGGGCAAGTAAGAGACCAGGCCTTCTGTGTATGCACATGTATGAATGCAGGATCTCTGTGTACCTTCTGTGCGGTACGGTCTATAAGTTACTCTATACAGATGAATACGGATTTCCAACATAATCTGTGCAGGTATTTTTTCTGTTGCCTTCATATCTTATTATTATTTTTTAAATGATTTTTCTGATTTCCTATAGTTTTTACGTTTGATTTAATTGTATGTTTTGGTTCTGTATATGAACAAGTATGGCCTGTACTGTACATACCACACTTACTCCATTTTGATATTTAATTGACATTATTATTGAGGTATTCTATTCCACTTTTGTTGTCACATAGTGTGGTCTTTCCTTAAATGCTATACAGTTAGCAGTGGATTCAGTAAAAGCTTTCTCTATTTAAAATTGCCGATTATATTTGCAAAAAAAAAGACCCAATATTCCACCAGTCTTCATTCTTTGAATAAGATATTTGATTCCATAGTTCAATTTTGATTTCTTTGAAGAAATTATTTTGAGGACTCTTCCTTTCTGTGCATTTGAAGAGCAGATGTTAGGTCTGTTCATTACAGCTGCCCAAGTCACTTATTATGCCAGAAGTGGTGGCACGCCACCAGGTTTTGGCTGTTTTTATGCTTGATATATCAAAGCTTCCAGCCATGGAAGTTTAATTTATTCAGTCCACTCCCACACATTTTGAAGCATACAAAAATGATGATTAAATTTGAAGTTCATGTTGTATTTGTGTGGTAATCCTTCACAATCCTTCCTCTGCTAAGAACAATCATATAACATTTGATGCTTTGAATTGACACCCAACTTTTTTTGCCATAAATAATCATCTAAAGTATTTGACATCTGTTTGTTTCGCACACTGAAGACTGCAAAACCTTATGACCATGTTATTTTCCTGGGGCATTCTGCAGTCTGTAGCACCCCACAGGCTTCTGGTGATTACCTAATTCACATTCAGCCATCTGTTATTCACATTGCTGATTGGCTCCCCCTCCCCCCCACACACACCCAGAAAGGGCTGCCATTTTAGAAGGCAATACTGTGAATACTGACTCATTGATTCTTTTTTTTCATTAACTGAATAAGAGGAAGGTGAGTCCAACTGCTGTTTCAGGCTATTTTTAAATCTAAGGCTTTTTTCCCTTGTCAAGATTACTTGATGTTCACCATCTGAAATTTCCCATAAGGTGCTATATTTTTATCACATTACCTCGTGTCTGTAATGTAGCGTAGTCCTGAAAAGGAATAGTTCTATTTTTATTTATCCTTAATTTTACCAGGAAGGTTCCATTGAGATACGGTGCCTCTTCTTCCAGGAAGTTCTGGCCAAGATGGCAGCGAATAAGAAACAAAGACAAAAGTTTCATATACATAAATTAATTTATATGAAACAATGACACTGTTCTTTAAGCTCAGAGTTTAAGAGATTTTTTCAAACATTCAGAGAAGGCAAGGAGTCTAAATTCAGTATATATGAGAGAAGCAGGTTTTTAATTTTCTAAATGTGAGCTCTATCATTGTTGCCATTTTCACTGTGTTGATTTATAGCTGATGACATGAATTGTAAGCTGTTTTGAATCACGCGTACAAACATCCGAGACCATCTCCAGTATACGAGTCCTACGTTTAACAATGTCACAAATTCTCAAACACTAAAATGTAAGACTTGTTTTTATCATCAAAAAAGTGGAATCTAGAGGGAAAGTGGTTAATTATGTGAAATACTCCATGACTTGAAATCCATGACATGGTCACCTGGTGGAAATCATAGGGGTATGCATGACGGTCCACCCCCATCCCCCAGAAGAAATCCCAGTGTGGAACAGCTGGATTGTGTTTGGAAAGCTACTTTGTTACAGGGGGAATGAGAAGCTGAGGTCATTGGGAAAACAGGTGTTCCCATGATGTGCTGAAGAGCTGAATTTGGAAGGGGAAATGTGAGAAAGCAAAGTGGGTCAGAGAGAATTGCTTGGTGTTTAACTAAAAGTTTGAAAAGGAGAGGCAGCTGATGCCACTTTGGCCTGTTTACAGTACAGCTCTCATACTCAGAACAGTACTCATTAACCCCAGGCCTGCTGCTCCATTTTGTGTGCTGTTTTTAAACTGAAAAAATAATTTTGCTATTATGTTTTACTCATAGTAAACCTAATATGCAAGTATTTCATGGATAGTATGCTGTTGTAGCTTAGTAGGTTCGGGGTCTGTTCTTGTGCCCAGAAGCTCATGGATTTTTATTTTGTGAGCGGCCCTTGCTCCAGGGCCCTACCTCTAACTGCTCCAAGGCCCTACCTCTAACTGCTCCAAGGCCCTACCTCTAACTGCTCCAAGGCCCTACCTCTAACTGCTCCAAGGCCCTACCTCTAACTGAACCTTTAACTGCTCCAGGGGTGCTGGGTGCCCACTCTGTAACCTCTGGCTTTCCTCACTTGTACATTACTTTGTACAAAAGCATCTGCTAAATCAAGGAATACATGAATGTTTGTACTTAATGAATATAATTTTCACCTGGGTCTGGGTGAATGCATGAATATATACACACTGCTGGTTGTTGTTAGTCTAGTAGTACATAAGGTAGAAGTCTTTCATTGCCTCTCATTTAAAATCCATTAAGAAAAAACACCTTTATAACGATGGGAGTATTCGGTATTTTTAATAGCAATGTTATACAAGTATAATTATTCACTTCATGTCCACCAGTTCATAAAAAATCTTATACCACATTCACTGCTGCACCCATAATAATTAAACAAATCTAGTGTCTTTGTGGCTGTAGCACAAAATAACACCTTTCCCTTTCTGCCATGATTTCAGCTTCACAGTTCTGGGCTTTGTAATCCACCTTGATTGTTTCCAGTTGAATGCTGAAATGCTGCTTTACAAATGGATTTCAAACACCACCTAGTGGAGAAAAACGACACAAGTTGTGTTAAAAGTCTGTGCGTTTTATCTGAAGTAAAATGTGAGAGCACACGTAGGTTTATGTCTAAACTCTATAAACTTAGTATCAGCATAAACAAAAATTTCAGTGAATTTATTGTATTAAACTTCTCATCTGTTTTACCAGTATATTTTGCCGCAAAATTGTGAATTCATTCAAAAAAAATCTGGTGTCACGTTGGAGCCAGAACAATAACAGTATTATTATTATTATTATTATTATTATTGCTAAGAATGATGACATGTCACCTGGGATGGATCGATTGAATGATGGATGATGGATTGCTTGTGTATTGCCAAGGTGACTGAGAAGGTCTCTAATATTATGACCAATTTATCTCAGAATACAAGATTGAGATTATTTCTGTGACAACTTTCTGTTGTCATTTATTCTATTCAATAGTTAAATTGTCATTGCCAAAGCGGAAGGACTACCATGGATAATATAAAAAAATCCTTGTTCAAATACAGCAAATAAAATATTAGCTTCCTTTGAAACAATTGAAGCAAGGTTATTCATTTTTGGAACAAAATGTGTGTAATTTATATTTAATACTGCAGTGATTAGAATTAGGCATTCCTTATTTTTAATAATTTATAAATAACATAACAAAACACAGAGGAATTAGGGATTGTGTTCTAATTGCAATGGTAACATTAATATAATTTTAAATGAATTCAAAAAAAGTGATCTGCACACATTTACATATATTTATTAGTTACATTTATCCAAAGTGACGTACAGTTGAGAGCAGAGGCTCAGTTGCCCCATGGGCTGGCTGAGGTTTAGGCCCCTGCTCAGCATCTCGTGAACCGTGGGACTTAAACCAGTGACCTCCTGACCCTGTACACAGGACCTTAACCTGCAGAGCCTGTAGCTGTGGAGGCCGCAAATATACCATTTTGTGGCTCTTTTCCGTTAAGAAGACAAGTGTTTTCACAAAGTGTAAAAGCACTATTACCCATCTATTTTTATACCACTTATCCTGATCTGCGTTCTGATTACTCTTAAGTTGGTTAGTTAATAAATATTAATTTTGTTATTTGGTTAAACATAAAAATAAAAAACAGGCCAGTACTAAATGTTTCATAAAAAATATTTCATCTATGGTCATCAACAATATGTAAGCCATCTTGGTTTCTAGGAAATTTCTAAACCCATAAAAGCATGAAATCCTAATTTATAATTCACTTTTATCCCTATAATTTTACTTTATGTCCAATGCAACAGCCTTTTGTATATATCAGAAGTGTACAATTCACAAAGCTATTACTTTTGCACTTGTGGCCAAAGTTAGCTGTTAACAAGGTGTTTTTGGCAATGGAACCACCACTTACTGGATGGTTTTTTTAATCATATAATTTTTAGTAAAGTCTACAGTACCAGTCAAAAGTTTGGTTGCGCCAAGCTGTCTACAAAGGCGAGCGATAGTGTTGCATCGCATGATGTGGCCACTTGACTTAAACACAGTAGAGATGGTTTTGAAGGAGTTTGGCCGCTTTTCCTTCACTCTCTGATCAGTCATAGCTCAGCATATATGTGGGGGCTCCTTCAGGACAGCTGGAAAAACCACCTCATAAAACTGCCATAGAGGAGAATGTAGGGTCAGCATTATTTTATTTAATACTTTTTTTGATCAGTGCTTAATTCCATGTGTGTTATTTTATAGATCCGTTGTCTTTATAATTTTTCTAAAATGTGGAGAATAGTACAGTTAAACCTTTCTGTGGGTAGGTGTGTCCAGACTTTTGACAAGTACTATATTAGACATCTTTTTGGGATTTTCAGAGATGTTGGAAGCACAATGTAAGTCCCTAACAATCAAGCCATATTAGAACATGTGATCTAAGTATCTGTAAATTCTTAAGGTCTCATAATGTCTCAGATAGTGTGTAGTTATCTTAAATGTGTGTGGATTTCAATGTGTGTATGTACATGTTTTATAGAAAATTTAAACATATAGCAATAATACGGCCATTTTGCATTGGGGCGGGTGGGCTACTCTCTGATGAAAAAAAGTAAACGAATGCCAGCTTGGAATGCACAGCCCCTCTTCCTGTGAAACCTGTCGACATTTCCTGATATTTGCATCAAGCGGGAGGCAGCTCTGACACAGAAGGCTGTGCTGTCAAAGGCGTAGCTAAAATTATAGGCAAGGAGAAAGGAAAAATGGCAGGTCCTAAATTGTATCCCTAAAATGAAAAAAAAAAACTGTGTGCCAAGTTGCAATTCCTTCTGGAGCTTCTGCTTGCGCTGGGGGAATTAGGAAGCCCACAATTAAACATATGGGCATTAAGATAATTGTCAGTTCTGTTGGCAGACATGATAGGAGACAGATGGATGTGAATCAGTACTCTCCACCGAGGCTCCCTGGGAGATCATTTTGTCTTTTACCTGCCTGAGCAACTTCACCACGTTTGTCACTAGTCAAATTTAGGAAATGTGAAAGTATCCTGTGCTATGAAGCAGATGGGGAGGGTGCCCTCACCAACACTGTTAATATGGAAATACAGGCCGTTTTGGAGGCTTCCGGAGTTAATAACTTGCACAACAGCACTGCAGTAAAGGTAACTTTTCTGACATGCTTCTCCCATTATATGTAGGTTGGTGCCCATCGCGAGGATGGGGCTGGTCTTCGGGGCAGCCATCCAGTTGTACCAAATCAAGTTCAAGTCCCCCAACTTCCTGTGCAGACTGCAACATCGCCAGACCTGAGCCAACCACCAGATCCATACCGTGGTAAGTTAAGTGCGTGACAAACGTTTCCTATTCTAATTCGTTTAATCCTCCTCTGAAAAGGTATTCGGTATTATCCATACCATTTTGATGTGGTGTCCACCTCTGTCACCTGCCACCTATAAAATGTTCCATTACAGTGGACAAATCCTACGTACTCTAGTCGTAAATATATTATATAGCTAAAAGTTCATTGACACCCTTAATAAGTAGAGGAATTGCCAAATTAAGCTACACCCATTGCAGACACGGGAGTATAATTAATCACACAGTCATGCAATTTCCAGCAACAAACACTGGCAGCAGAATGGTTAGTCTCGCAGATTTTTAAATATTAACTTAGGAGTCCCATGGTAGCAGCCGATTTGGTCTGTTTTTCAATCTCATGTGTTCCGCCAAAAGCCACATTGGTTTTGAGGTGTGATCATTCCCATAGGCCTGAACAAGCGTTATTGGTGATGGGAGACTAGAGCTGTCAAAATTATTTGATTAAAAAGCAGTTTTTAAAAAGCATGGATTGAAATTTGCTTTCTCGATTCCTCGGCAATATAGCTGCAGATGTGGGTCCGAATAAAGAGCAAAAACCTTGGTTCTCTGGAAAGAATAAACATTAAAAGTGAATGAAAATGCACTTGTTTATCAGTATCGCAAAGCCGAACTTACAACAGCACAACGGCAAGGCAACTACATCTTAGAAGCTGACATTCAGGTTTGATGGACTCACCCAGTAATGTGATAGCAGCCATTGATTTGTGTCATTTAGCCTCTCGGAGTCTTTGTCATCTCAATTATAAATTATTTTAGTCATAATTTATTTTGACATACAGGAATCGTAAAAAGTATTTGCTGCAAAAATGAAGGTTAGGCCCATTGCTTGCCCAGCTAGCAATTTTTTCTTCTAGGAACATTAATAGTAATGTTCGGTAAAAGTATGGAAATGTTGAAAATGTCCAGTTTTCCTGATGTTCCCAGGATGTTACCCATTACTACAACTAAGAATAATAAGAGAGCACTAAAATAAAGGTCATAGCAGAACAGCGGGTCATGGGTTCCAGGCTCGATGGTGCATTTGCAGTAATCACATACTGTACTTATAAAATAATAGTTATAGAACAATATATTTTTTAACATTAATTATGTTGAAAAGACGTTCAGGTAATATTGTTACTGTGCTAACATCGACAGAACCTTTGTAAAAAAATATATATACAGTATAGCGTAGAAATAACCTTCTGTTAACGATACAGTAAGAATTCTCTCAGCCAGCTTTGATAAGACCTTTAAGTAACTTTAGCTCTGGAAACGGTCCCTGTTATCTGGGTAGCCACATCATCGTAAGTAATACAGTACATAATTGCCATATTTTTTTTTTTTTTGTGAATGCATTGTGTGTTTTGAGTAGGACTGAACAATATTGGAAAAAAGTTTACATTGTGATATCTGAAGTTTTTGCAATATATTTGAGTTGAAAGTTAACTATATAGCCAAATAGAACGTATTTTCTACCGGTGGACTCAAATAACTTTGTTAGCACAACTCACTGTAACACTATAAACACGAAGCAGGGTCGACAAATAACTCAATATCATGTCTGTGGAATACAAAATATTTCCATATAACGGAAGGCGAATATATGTTTGTGAATAGTTCTTGTTCGCTTTTCTAATCCTCACTTATTTTTGTTTAATTTCTTACATATACTTTACGCCATACGGTATGAGTGCAACAGCAAGGACGAGAATGATCATGCGCTATCTGAGAGAATCATAAACATGCATAGCATGCCTCGTCTGTATTAACATCACATATTGTGCAACACCTAGTACTGAAGGTGTGTGTGTGTGTGTGTGGAGTTTGCATGTTCAATGTTTGCGTGTGTGTGTGTGAGTTTTCGATGGTTCTTCCGGATTCCTTTCACTGTCCAAAAACATGCAGCTTGGTTGCTTAAATTGACCGTAAGTGCGGTGGAATGTCCACTGTGAAGAGGGGAGAATACGCTTCACTCAAAAGTGTGTAAAAAGTGTGCAACCTTTTGGGTGCGTTTTGACTTAAGTGCTTGATGGGGGAACCTTCTTGCCGTATACCTTGATGGGGGAACCTTCTTGCCGTATACCTTGAAATGAGGGTGATAAGATTCAGGTGTTTAGATCAATTCAGGTGTGTTCATGTGCAATATAGTGCGACCATGGATTTCAGAGTACCTCATTGGAAGTGTCGTTGAAGCTCTTAAGACTGGAAAGAGTTAAAAACTTGAGCCTCCATCAGTCAGGCAGATTCCAAATGGAAAACATTCAGCACCATAACTGTTCTTCCTGAATCCCGCAGAGAAGCGCATGGCATGTGAAACAGAGGGAGAGCTGTGGCGAGGGTACAGTATGTGGCCATTACCTGCGCTACATAATGTCCTTGTTCATGAATATAGGATATGAAAAATAACAAACAATAGTTGCTTTTTCCAGGAGGTTACCAAACAGTGTTCTCCAACTCTGAGTTAAATCTTCTCAAGACCACCTGCATGATCCACATTACTACTAGAACAGTGTTTATGGACAGATTTCATTTTGGTCTTTTTGTTTGGTACACAGCATTATTTTTAAAGAAAACAAGACTCTGCATATCAACACTGCATAGCATGGTGGAGGATGTAGTATAATATGGGACTGATATACCTCCACTGAGTCCAGATGACTTGCAGTCATGGAGGAAAGAGTGAATTCCACGTTCTATCAGGAAATTCTGCAGCATAATGTCAGGGCATCTGTCTGTGATCTAAAACTTAAAAGAAGTTGGGTAATGCAACATGACAATGATCCAAAACAGAGTAGTAAATTGACAACAGAATAACTCAAACAAAAGAAATACCATATTTTTGAATGGCCCAGTCTGAATCCTGACCCTAGGCCTATTAAAATGCTTGCGTGATATGCAGCTGGCTGTTCAAGCACGACATTCTAAAAATAGACATGAATTGAAACAGTGTTCTATAGAGGAATGGCCAGAAAGCGATGATATTGTTATGATTTCTGTTGTTTTTGTTAAATAGTTCATGATATGTGTTTTTGTTGTAAATATGAAAATGCTAGGGCTCAGTTACAGAATAGTGCGTAAAATATAAATTAATATTTTATACTGCGTTCTTGTTTATGGTTGAACTATAGATTGATCAGAAATGTTCCCAAATTCTTGAAGTTTTGCTAAAGCTATATGAGGTATTAAATTAAATCAAGTTTAATTCAAATGTACAATCGTACAGCAAATAGGGACTGATGATGGCAATGAAATGAATTGTATTATTGTACCCAATAATGAAATTTTACATAGAATGTGGTATGCAGTGTTGAAGATACTTTTAGATGGGAGTTTTTCAAGACACAAGCTACATCTGATTAAAAGTAGCTAAGCCCCAGTCGTGGCCACATATTTGCGGCCTCAGAACGGTCGTAAAGTCGATCCGTCGTGAGTCGCATTGGTCGTAAGTTGACAATGACCTGTAATAATTTTTAACGATGTCACGTTTTGCCATGCTGCATTGCTATTTGTAATAACAAAGTTGTTAGTTACTGGAAAAGCATTTTAAAAGTAGCTGCGCTGCTAATAAGCTACTGAAAAAAGTAGTTTAGTTAGTAGCGTCTCTAATTGTAGTTAGCTACTCCACAACACTGCTGGTATGTATATCTAAATAAACACAATGCTCTTAAAATACACATTATGGACACTCTAAACAGTTAAATGGTGTTTAAAAATGCATTTGTACTGTAAAACATGCGTGGTTCCCCGGTTGCTCACCATGCAGAGCAAGACCGGTTTGATTATGTGCTGCAAAGAGAACAATAACATGGCCTTTATTACACTGGTTGGGTTAAATGACTGGATTCCTGTCCCACTCACCGTTTTACAGTAACATCTATTGTGTACTGGGTGCCTGCAGGGGCTATAGGTAGATTCAAATGAACTACATTTCTTCCAGACAAATTACGTTGTCAAGAGTAACAAGAACCAGGTGGATGACATCACACAAATTGTAATGTGAGGTGGTTGATACTGGCTTTTATCTATCCCAAACTGTCATCTGGTAATAGGGCTCCCTTTAAATAACTGGGAGACTGAGAGAAAAAAACTGGGATATATATATATATATATATATATGTGTGTGTGTGTGTCTGTGTCTGTGAACGGGTTTACCTATCCTTACCTATCCTTATGGTTTCCTGGTCCCCATAAGGGAAAACTCTATGTTATAAAAATCTGTGACTGCAATGAAAAAACTAAAAATGCAAAAACTCTTGTATTTTGTTAGGTTACTTATGGTTATGGTTGCGGCTGGGTAGGGGTAAAGGTTGTCACAGTTAGCATTAGCATTTTTCCCATAGAAATGAATGTGCGGTCCCCAAAAAGATATGATTACATGACTGTGTGTGTGTGTGTGTGTGTGTGTGTGTGTGTGTGTGTATATATACACACACACAATACTATACTCGAACATTAACCAATATGACACAGACAGTAATACACATGGTATTTTATTTTAAAAAAATATATGGTGCTTTGAAAAAATATAAAGAGCACATGATCCAAGAAAATCATAGGAAACTTATATTGTATAGACAAGGAGTCAGAAATATGTCATAAATACTTACAGGCTGACGCACACAAGAAGACATTGAGTACTATACAGTACACAGTTCTTAGCTGGAAGTGTACGAACTTATTAGGAATAGGAATTAGCTTTTTAATAATCTAAATATGGTGCAAAAAGAAGTTAAATCAATTTTTCAGAATATTGTTACATTTACATCAAGAAACTATGTTGTTTAAGGCAAATATGTAGAATTTAAATGACAGTTAATGATATTTTTATATTATAGCATTCTGTTGGTTATCGGAAATAGCATGTTTAAAAGACCTATGGGTAGCCACCATTGTATTTTTCCAGGACATCGGTTGTTCCTACAGTATCTGGCCAATTTCCTCCGTCTCCCCACTTATGGGCAGCCCTACTCCTGCTCCTTACAATAATGTAAACATTTAAATTACAATGTAACAAAAACGGATATTGTAACATTAGGATCAATTCTCAAAATGAAAACATTCAGACTGAAAGAATCAATATTTCAGTATCGATCTGCACATCCCTACTAGCCTGTCTTATTTGATGACAAGGGCATATTAAAATGTTTGCAGCTGTCCTGGTTGCTTGTTTTTCTGTAGTCTTTTTCCTGCATTGTAAGGTTTTATAATATGCCTTTTCTATTGTATTAAACTAGAAATTAACATTATTTATCAATATTTTTAACTTGATTTTTAGACCTATCTGTATGCAATCAAAATTCAACATAAATTCAGTTAAGAAAAAAATAAACAGTAAACTGTTTTCTCTCTTCCTTTAGTTATTTAATCTATAATATTTGATGTTGCCACAATATTTTTAATAAATATTTTACTTATCTTGAAGTACCGTCTCAAACAGTCATTGTACAGTATAAGCTTTTTTAGGATTGGATGTATCTATTCTCTTTACCTTTTTTCTTTTCACCTTTGCTCAAATGAAACAAGAAAAACTCATCATCGCTGCTGCCAGTGTTTGTCGCTAGACAATTTCTTTTGGTATGCAAACTTTTTTCAATAAGTTAAGAACATTTCACATCGTGTTTTGTGTGAAAGTTTGAGATCTGTCAAATTTGCATCTGAATGTTTCGCAAGTGCGTGTCATTTTTTCGTGCCGTGTTCCATGTGAAACACCCTTTCAACAATCACACAAACAGACTTTGCCCTAAATACAGCATATTTTCCAAATCAGGTCCTTTCAGCTTCATCGGCTAATGGTAGCCTGTGAGAATCCTTTTTTCCTGGGACACTAAACAGAACCATGTGACTTGGGGGCTGTGCTGGGATCTTTTTTACGGCATGGTATGGGAGTAGGTTTAATACCACACAAAGCAAACACGAAAATAAAGAAGAAAACCAAATGCATAAACTCAGGCAGTCAAATCAGAAATCAAAACAGTGCATTCAGGTCTGAGGCCCAGTGCCTTAGTAGTTGATAAAAACCTTAATAAGACAGATTGCTGTACTTTTTTCTGCCAAAAGGGGGGGGCAATGCAGTTGCTTCACACTGTCGCCCCAAGCTTCATGATTCCGACTCCAGCCCTTCCCTGTGTGTGTGATGTTCGCCTGCCCTTCCCAAGTCGCATGTTTCCTCTGGGTGTTTCCTCATCTCTACCTGACATCTCTAAATTGCTAGTAGAATATGATTGTGAGTGCATGTATGTCCCTGTGATAAACTTACATTGTGCTCTGTTCCCCACACCGTGATGCTGACCAGGGTGAGATCGATGTTCTGTAATATTTATAAATGGGTTGTGATTAGCATGTCAAATATCACTCAGTGCGTCTGTTCATTAACTTAGCACAACATAGCACCTGTTAAATCCAACATAGAAGGGGGCTGCAGTAAGGCTGATTAACCAGGAGGTGGCACTACTCAGTAAGCTCTTCTTTTCAAAATTTTGTCTAAAATTAAAACATATGTCACGTAACGCTGTTATATATTATTTGCACCCTTACTTTCTGGAGTATCATGTACAATATCTCCTGAATAAATTGTGAATGGAAGTTTCATTCAAATTTAAAGCTTATCATAGATTCTCATTTATAGTACCCTTTGAGTCAAAAAAAAAACTTTAGGCATTCAATTAGGATATTCTGAGCATCTAAAGTTTGTGAATTTCCAATTATTTCTGAATGTAATGTAGATACAAGGCATGCCTATAATGCAAGGGTGCTGATGATGTGTTGCAGAACCATATGTCTCTCAACAAGGTATCTACAAGACCTGAATTTTAATCTCTATTCTCAAGGCTCTACACAATATGATATGGCTCATTATTGCTCATTATTTAGTCAACACACACATACAGATTTGTATTCATATCTTTGTGGGGACCATCCATTCATTTCTATGGGTGTGATATTTACCCTTTAATACATTCTCAAATTTCTGGATGTTTTTGTTTATACAACAGAAAGCATTTTTCCACGTACAAAACAAGCTCTATAATTATTTTGCAATTTCTGATTTGAAATAAATGGAATGGTATCAGAATGTTAACAATAGGGCGTGACCATTGGTGCACAGAACGTATGAATGTAGACATTTAATGACCTGAGCAGAGGGCTATCCACAGCTCATTCAACATTTACTCGTGCCTACAGTTGAATTATAGTCTAAATCTCTCAACATTGCACCTTAGCTACTCACATTTGTTACAAAAGCAAACCTAACAGCTCATCACATATTCAGAGTCCAAGCACTAAGAAACCTTGATCATTTTAAATCGTGAAAATGCATCTCTAAAATCCAACTGCAGCATGCAGGAAGTCACTGCACATGTATGCTATATACTACACCAGTAGATGGTTTATTTCAGTCACAGCCGAAGTATGGCTCCCTTGTTCAGTAGCTTATCTGAGTCTCTCGTTCACAAACTCGCTCACCAGCATTCTGAATGAGAGATCCAAGGAAGTGGAGAAACACGCTTATTCATCGACTAACTCACTGACTCGGCTGTTCGCTCACCGTAGGCATATATGCTCAATCCTAGGTTTAGTTTCCAGCCAATCATATGCTCGCTTACAGCATGCTCTTACATTGCCTCACTGGCTCTCACTGGCCATAGTCGAGGAGGAAAGCAGCATTCACATCATATTTCTGAGGACAAGCAGAAGAATGAAAAGAACATTCCTGTAAGGAACTCATTTCCTTCTAACAATTCGTTCACGAACGTCACACCATTACAGGAGAGGTAATCATGGCATGCAGTTCATTTGTGCAAATATCCTATATTACTAGAAAATGATCTTAGTAGAGTACTGACCTCTGCCAAGACAGTGATATCCTGCCAATTTAAAGATCTAGAAAAGAAATCACATAAACTCAAGTATAGAGGACAATATTGGATAAAATATAAGCTTTAATAACACCATGACCTTGATCTAATTGTTTACCATAATCCAATTATCAGTGTTATAAATGTATTAAAACATGATCAATGGCTGTACAGCTCAGCAGCTGAATAGCTGTTGTTTTGTTAAAACGTGTTCAGTGTCGCTCTGCGCCTGTGATAAAATAGCCTATAATTTATTTAATTTGACTGATACTGGCAAAATATGTGATTTAATTAAAAAAAAACATCATTTTAAGTTCCAAGTTCCATTATCAATTTCTACATTAATTTTCTCGATGTTTTATTTTCTTGCTGTAGTATCGTTTCAATGTTGGTATTGAAATATCTTAGGCAGGTACTGTATCATATCGAAGTCATGATTTTGGAATCGTGACGACATTAATCCAGAATACATTTTTCTTTCTCTTGGAAATAAGCAGCACCTGTAGTACTGCTCATTATTTCTTTATTAACTTTATGACATAGAATTAAAAATATAATTTTCTAGTTGTCAGTAAAGTTGGCTCGTAAAGGATACTTGCATTATTTATGATATGATTAAAGTTTTGGCACAATATCCATACACTAACAGAAGAGAAGCATTCTCATGGACTGCGAGTGTTTTTGTTTTTTTTTGCTCCTGTTCTGTTCCTTATCTGTCATGCATGCTGCGATCTCCTCAGTGGCGTATTTTGTTTCTCTAGCTCTCTCTAGTGGACTCCAGGGACAGAGCACGTCATCAGTCAGCTCGGAAATCAAGTCCGAGGATGAGGGAGACGAAAACCTGCAGGACACTAAATCTCTGGACGGGAAGAAAGAGGAGGGTGACAGTAAGGACCTCAAATCGCTTGATAGATCAAGATCCAGGTAAGTGAAATTAGCTTGATTTTATTTATTTACCTGAACATTGTTAAAACAAAAAATTCAGTTAATCCACATCAGATGAGAACAAACACACATTGCAGTTTATGAAGCATTAATTATAATTTAGTGAAAATATATTAGTTATATTCAACTCAAGGCAAACAATTTATTGCAGGTGATACACATTAATAACACGTTAATACATTATTAAACAAATAAGGCAGCAGTTTACTATTGTTCAAATTATTGTTAAAGTGCCATAACATAAAAGAGGATAACAGGACTTGTCCTGGTAGATGATCTATAACAGGCCTTTGTGTATATCGTTGCTTTCTGATGAAAATGGCATCTGTCCACTTTTGACATTTGTGACTTTTTACTGTCGATGGGAATGGCCCATTCCCCTCTTTCCACTGATGGCATGTGACATCTAATTTGTCAATAAAAAGATGTTTCATTAAATCATCTCAATTGTTTGTCAGAAATGTCCATCAAAACCAACCTTGTTTGGAAGAACATCATTGAGTGTTTTGGCTACCTGTTTGCTTCACATTTGGGTTTCATGTGTTTGGGTCAAAATTTCTACATCGGTGTGGCAATAACAAGATGATTGTTACTGGAATGGGACTTTGCAGAAGAAAAAGGAGGCACACAAACAACTCATTTCCAAATGCATGAAATTCTATAAAAAATCTTAAGCCTTGTCTGCTCTTCATTGTAGCAACTATTATTCTGCCCCCTTTTCCTGTAATGAGGTGTAATGCAGTCCTGTGATTTATTGGTGCTGCTTAGGCAGAAAAGGGGAACACTTGGTTTGATCCCACTGAAATAATGGATATTGGGAGATGCGTGATTTTTATTGGATAGCGATGATATACCTGTGATAAATAGATGCCAAAATTTAACAACATACAATTGTAGAACTAATTTTTGAAGTGAATGAAAAGAAAAAGGCTAAGCAAGTTATTGTGTGCAATGTAATTTACATATTTATTTACAATTTATATAAATATTTTGGCAATGTTATTAAACTGACTGTACAAACTGAGTGTCTATCAAGCTTATGAACAATGGACCTAATTGATTGGTCGCATGCATTTGCCCATTCCTATAATCCAATCCTGTAGTAATAACGACGATGAGGACCTTTCTCCAGAGCAGAAGATAGAGAGGGAGAGGGAGCGCAGGATGGCCAACAACGCACGAGAACGCCTGCGTGTGCGTGACATCAACGAGGCCTTCAAAGAGCTTGGGCGCATGGTACAGCTGCACCTGAAGAGCGACAAGCCACAGACCAAGCTGCTGATCCTGCACCAGGCCGTGGCCGTCATCCTCAGCCTGGAGCAGCAAGTCCGTGGTCAGTGCTTGTCCCCTTATCTCTAACAGCTCTGCCCAGCTTTCATCTCTGATGTGGGCCGGTGTGTGGCTCAGCAGAGACTCATGATCGGAGGGTCGCCGTTTCAAATCCCGTGCTCAGCAGAGAGATGTAACCATTTGGTCCTTGAGCAAGGCCCTTACTGCCAATTGTTCCAGAGACTGGCTGACTCTGCTTTCTCAACTGTATGTTGATTTGGATAAAAGCATCTACTAAATAACTAAATGTAAATATTCTATGAGGAGAGGACTCCGCAGTGGTAACTATAATATATATATATATATGTAAAGATTTATATTCACTTTCTGCACATCTTTGTTTTAATTGCAAGAAATTCCAAGAACAATTGCAGGTGTGGTCAGTTGTACAGTAGCAGTACTTTCATTCTCCACTGGGTGGTGAGGCTTAAATTCCAATGTAGATTTTTTTGTTTGTTTGTTTGTTTATATTTTACAGAGAAAGGAAATACATTGTGTATATAAAAGATTACATATATGTCTGTACTTTTACTTTTTGTAGCAGTGTGTTATCTCTTATAAGTCGATTCCGTTTCAAACTTTTTCTCCAGTTGCAATATACTGAGTATGTCTGTAACGCACCTTTTCCAGAGAGGAACTTGAATCCTAAAGCAGCCTGCTTGAAGAGGAGGGAGGAGGAGAAGGTGTCTTCAGATGGACCCCCACTCTCCCTAGCGGGGGCACACCACAGCATGGGAGAAGGCACCAATCCCATGGGACAAATGTAAAAAGAAACACGCAAGTGGTCAGAATATTTTCACTTATAAACTGATACACTGTTTTAAATGTATGAATTGCCATGACCAGTGAAGAGGATTTAAATATACTTACTTCCCTTTATTGCACTGTACAGTGATTTCAATTGAATTCGATTTTTGAATACCATTTTATAGTATTTTGCTTCCCATGGAAAAGCTGGAAATGTACAGTGGTACCTCAGAACTCGAATTTAATCCGTTCAGAACTCCGGATCGAATCCTAAAAAGTTCGAGTTCTGATCGAATTTTCCCCATTAGAAATAATGGAAAACCAATTAATTGGTTCCCGGCCCCAAAAAATTTTTTTTAGCATTTAAACACAAAATGAACGGGATAAAACAAGAAGAGCATATACTGTACTAAACACATCTAAGCACATATATCAAAACAGTCATTTGTAAAGTAAGAAAATAAATGTATCAAAGCAATGTGTCCTGCCCCGATCGTCCGCTCCTTCCGTGTGCCACTCCCCCTCGTTAACCCCGTGTGGAATCCCCATGTGATCAGCTGTTTCTGGTTGTTGTCATTAGTCCTCTGTATTTCGTCTGCATTTAAGTTTGTTTCCCCAGTCCGGTCATTGTATTGTCCGTCTGCGTTTTGCCTGCCTTACCTGTAATTAAACCTCGTATTCCCCGATACCCTGACGTCTGCGCCTTTGTCTCCGTTCCGTCCCGCTCGACACGACAATATTATTATGATTAAATGGTTTAATGGTTTATTATTAATATTAAAATAATGAATAAGAAATCTTTATTTTTAAATGTATTTTATTATATAATAATAATTACTGTTATTGTCTATCATTGTCTAAATGTATTTTTACTGTCTAAATATATGTATTCAGCTAGTGCACGGTGCTATCACAGTGAATGCGAGGCTGAGACTGAAGCATTACCCTTTGTTTCCGCTGAGGGACATGCCGCGTGACTCATTTCCCCACGCGTACAAGTTATCTTAGGTCGGCGTTCACGGTTTGACTTCTGAGATTCAGATCGAGTTCTAGGTAATTTTTTTTTCGAACTGGTTGGTTCCACTTTTAAGAAATTCGAGTTCTAATGAGTTCGAGAACTGAGGTACCACTGTATTTAGTAAATTTTCCCGCAAATCTGAAACGTGAAGAACATGGTGATGGCAGTTAATATGTAATAACTCCATAAACCCATACAATATACGATACTGTGCAAAAATCTTAGCCAGTCATAGAAAATGATATTTACTGCCCAACTTGTTTAGTCAATCAATACCTTATTGAGGTATTTAACAAATTAAGTAAATTAATTAATTGAACTGGTGGAAAATGTATCAAGTACTTGGAATTTCTAAGGTTCCTCTAGAGAGAGGTTTGAGAAGAAGTGTTCATCAACCTATCCAACAAGATATCAGTTAACAGAAGATATTCGTTTTTATCTTAATGTTAATTTGCGTATGTGCTAATGTTAGATTGTGTTAAATTCTGAGCATATATGGATTTACTACCCAGATAAATAGCCTCAAAACTTTTGCACTGTATGTATGAAAAAAACAGAGTCCTAGGTACAACAGGTAATGTTTTATTTTTAAATTTAAAGTTAAGCCAAGGAATTGGAATACACTTGAATCAAAGATTAAATGAAAACACGTAAAACAAAAATGCTCATTTGTTTATGAAATCAAATATGCTTTTAATTATGACAATTCCTTTTATAAACTATATCAGATTTTTTTCCAGCACTTTTTCCAAACTGAACCATCCAGAGAAGTTATTACAAGATTCTAAATTGACAGTTTATCTCATAGCTCTTGTAGGGGTGCATCGATACTGATACTAGTATGGGCTCCGATACAGTACTCATACTCATCCTTGTGACAGTGTGTTGATGCCTATAACTGATACCATGTGATGACTTATCAGGGTCAGTCTCAGTATAGGGTTCCTTCGTGACACTCATATCTTCCAAAAAAGGTGCTTTAATTCATAAATTAATTGGATATTTCATTTTAACAGGGTGGACATGTTCAGCTTAACCACCGGCAACTATATACACAATATGTGGAAAAATGTGTATAAGATTAAGATTCACTTTATAGATCCCAGGGAGAAATTCTGGTGCATACAGCAGCGAGCACAAATGCTTGGTGTCTTTGCAGGAGTTATGTTCATTTCATTGAGGGGAAGACGACACCAATGATCCGTGACATGTTTTAAGATCATAAATCCTAATGAAATCCAGAATTTTCCACAGTCCCCCCTCAAAAAAAAAAATTCCAAGAACACAAAATTACATAAATATTTTAACATTTTTCAACCTTATTGCAAGTATCCCACAATAAATTGATATGTATTATAAGATATTTGCTCAGTGTTTCGTTAGTCATTTTTTTCTGAACTCTGTAACTCTCACCCTGGATATTATTTAGTTTATTTAAAAAATAAATGGTAATATAACAGAACTATTTAACTACTTCAGAGGCAAAATCAACAATTTAAACAATGAAGTGGTATAATTTGAATCTGTCTTCAAACTAATTTTACAAATCAGAGAAAACTGATATGTTACAGAAATGAGTTTGTGAGAATCACTGTCACTGACTCCTCCTCTTGTTATAAAGTTTAAAATTTAGGAATTCAATGTGTAGATGGTTGCAAGTTTTAATGTTAGGTGCAATCGTGATTAATCACCAAAAACTGTATGATTAAATAGTTTTTTTAATCAATTCACAGCCCTAAAATAAATAAATAATATGCAAATTGAGTGCTTATCATCTCATTGACCTCAATATTTTTCTCCTCAGGTCCAACTTGCCGAAGTTTGTCAAAATGATGAGTGACCACCTCCTTTGATATTAGCCTGTTCCCACCAATCAATCAACCAATCAAACCAACATATTTTCCCCTGCCCTGTCATGTGTAGAAAGAATCAGCAATGGACAATGGCTGAGGAAATTCAGATTATTTTTTTCTTTTGCTAATTCCCTGTCTTAAATGTAAAGACGAAAGTGCAACTTGATGGATGACTCTCCAAACATATCATTAGGAGCTGATGTGAGCAGCCTGCCTGCCTGCGATTTTCTCCACACTGTGGAACACTTGCAGTTGTGCCTGAACTCCTCCTGAACGTATAAATGAGCAAGATGTTGCGTAACTATCAATACCAATCTGTAGGCCTTGAAGCGAGAGATGAACATAATCAAAAATGGTAATTTAGAATTTCAAGAAATTGTAAAACCTGCAATAATGTAAAAGTGTACTTCTGAGCAGTAAAAGGAGGATAAAGTTTATTTGAGGTTCTGGGTGACTGGTGTGGCTCCATACTGAAGAAGAAAGTCAAGTTAAATTCTAAACCAGCAAACATCCTGATTATCACTTTAGTGTAATCATAGCCATTCCGTTACATTGGGTAGAGCAGATGGACCTTTTCACCATACAGGGAGTTAACAGTAGCTATTGTCACTCCTCGACTACAGGCTGTAAAGAGAAATAAAATGTGCTGCAGGGATATCAGATTGAGGGCTTTAGTTTAGTTTAGTATTGTGATACGGAGAACCTCAGTGAGACCTTAACCACCAAGACGCAAGCTATTTCTCCAGTGACTGTGCTGCATGCAGAGTGATACCAGCTGAAAGCTAGTAGTCCATCGGTTCACTTTTTAGTTTCTCCCCAAGTTCTGCCACCTTATTCCCACCTTTTTGATCCTGCTCCTCCCAGTCCCAATCGCCCCCAAACCCAGAGATGCAACTTTAACATGCTACAATTCTACCAATGTGCCTTTTAGAGTTCATATCATTAAAAGTGCAAGGAGGACATTAACAGAACTTTTTAGGATGCAAGCTTAGGGAATTGTTAGTCATTAGGTCTATGCAGTCAGGTTTTTTGTGACCTGGAATTTAAAAAAAGTAAAAAGGAAAAAAGTATTTTTTGGATAAATTGTATTTAATGTACTGTATACTTATATGTAATTAGAAGGCGTGATTTTGAACAATTCTGGATTGAGTAAATTATACCACGGTGTCCCGTTGCTCTCTTCCTCTCCGGTTGCAGTCTCTGTCGACAGTGAGTGACGCGTCTGTTATAGAATGTTGTATTATAGCTTGTTAGCCTTTTATGAGTATTGGCTTATCGGTCAGCCTCTATAGTCAAGTACATGTGAGTGGTTGTATGTGTAACAGATTTTCCGTTTTTGTTTTTCATATTATTCTTTGTTCTGGTTTTGCTGTCAAAATGTTAACGAAGAAACCACACAATGCTGCAAGATATACAACAGGAGTATTGTTGTGGTTCAATCTACAAAATCAACATGAGGCACTGAAAGTGGAAAAGAATTTTTAAGAAAATTGATATATATAAATGTATAAAAATATACAGTATATAACTATGGTGGATTTTCAAAAGTTGTTGTAGGGATTAATTATTTTGTCAAGTCTTGACAGAAGTAGGCAAGAGACATTGAACTAAGAAGCTCTGCTATGCCAGTATGACACTGACTGTACGGCATCGTCCTAGGGCACAGGACAGGACCAGGGGACCCAACATCCATCTGTTCCACTCACTGCTAACCAGCTGTCAAGGATACAGACATTTGTAAATTGTATGCAAACTTAGCATTATTTTGAAATTGTGTATGTAAAAGGTATATTTTTACATGTAGACTGTTGTTATTTTGTGTTTAGAAATATGTTGTATCAGTTTTTGTTAAAAGATGAGAAATTAATTTTATGTGTTGAAACGTGTCTTATTGAAAATGTGGTGAAGTGAAACGCTTCAGAACCATTTCTTTTTAGATGTTCTGTTGATATTTCTGGGAACTTTTTTCCAGTGTGGGATGGGGTGGGAATTTCAAAATAATGCATAAATGTTTTCATTCTTGTTCCATTTTCATTACATAGTCATTTTGAATTGTATTTTCTGATGAATATGTAAATATAAACGACACACAGGGTTCATGCAGTTTTGGTTGTGTGATGATACACAAATGTAAGAGAGATGGGGTTGGATCAATTGTAACATAGGAACCCTGATAAAATTCTGTAGGCCATTTTACCAGGTGCCAAAAACAGTGTTATTAATATTTAGAGTTAAAGCTCTGAAGTCAGTGTTTGATAGTGCTAACTTCAATGAATGGCTGAAGTGGCAGAGGAGTATTACATTTAAATGTCATATTGATCCATGATTATGACATGTATGACATCTTTTTTTCCTGTATGACATGGGTTTTTAAAAATTCAAAGACTGAAATCCCAAAACATGTACTGTAGTTATTGAAATATTTCTCTCTTTATGGGCAATGGCTAAGGGTGTCTCATAGAATCTGGCTGGCAATTGACTGTCGTCATGCTTGCCTATCTAAACGAAAGTTGGCAGGGAATTTGCAGTAATGTTGAACAGATATGAGAATACAGCCTGCATCACAACACTTTTGACCTTGGTAATACCAAAAATGTTTATAAAACATGTTGTTTTTTGTTGTTATTATTTATACATTGTTTTATTTTGCATTTAGTATTTTGCAAGTAAAACAAAAGTGTCATAAATTAGGGGAAAATATTTTTATTTTTTAAATGTTTAAACTGAATAGTCAAGTAAGGTCACTGGAATACATTTCAATTTTGACATGAGACTGTGTTTCAATTTTCATGACCAATTTTTTATTTCATTATTACTGTCGTTACAATGAGTTCCCTGAGCTAGATGTATCTACCATGCATTTGTAAACAAATAAGCCATGTGTTTTATGTAAATGTACATACAGTCTATTAGAGTATAAACATCTTTATTATAACTAAGTGAACTGAGGTTTAATTTAATTTCTTTTTGAGTAAAGCAAGGGTTGTCCTGAAGTGTTTTTGTTACCTCACACATGGATCCAGGGACACAAGACAGGAACAGAAAACTACATGCTATTTGGTGATTTGTAGAAATTATATTTTCAATAATGGTTAAAATGAAAACCTGAAAACATTTCTGTAGTAAACCTAAGTTTAAAAATATCTGTCATATAGTTCTATCCACCGATGAATCATAATTTTAACCCATGAATAGGTGAAATATTAATTAGGAACAACTCTATCAATTTGTGTTTGTGAGTTATTGTGGAAAATGACCACTGGCAGCAATGTGATATATCCATAGTAGGTTAATATCATCCATCAGTCTATCTGTTTGTCCATCCATGCACCAATTTTTCTAAATTCTTTAAAGTTGAGGGTCCGAGTATAATGGTAAATATCTTCATAATGATTGATCCACCTCCATTTCTCATGGATGAAACGATAAACATGCTTTGAATTTAATTTTATTTCACTGCAATGACCATGAAGATACTATCTGTTTAGTGGAGTTAACAATGCAATTTAATGGCATTTATCCAGTCTTCCTTGTTATTTTAGTTTCTTTCCTGAGCTGATTTTATTTGTTCCACTTTTGCATTACATGAATGTAGCTGGACAAATTTGGACCTACATTTTTCAGTTAAACAGATTTGAAATGACAACAAAGGATATAAAAAAGAAAAAGATCAAACTAATTTCCATCCAAAAGCAACCTTATATAAGCACAAATCGTATACAGAAATGGTTAAATGGGAAATATATGACAACATCCACATGATGTACAAATTACATTTAAGCATAAAAGAAACTAAGGGAATGTGTCATGGTTTATAGGCCTATGAATTTCATTTGGGCAGCCATTTTCCTTTCTCACCCATTATTTGTGCAGTGCTGGTTTGAACATATTCATTTCAGAGTATTATAGACATACGTAATAGTGAAAATACATGAACTGTGGCCTTTTTCATTCTTCTTGTTACTTGTGATGCAAATAAGTGAAAAAAATAAGCTGAGAATCACCATGTATCAGTGCCTGGGCTTTTTTTGTTATAAAGCTTCTTTTGTCTAGTGCTCTTTTGCTATGACATAGACTAGTGCACCCTATTATACAAAACAAAAGACTAAATTTAAAATGAAATATATTTGGCTTATATTTTGCAGGGCAATCCTTTTATACCAGGAAAATAAAGAAAATAATTAATAAAAAAAAAAATTAAAAAAAGGAAGTCAGATTCTGAATATTCCACTTTGTAGATTTTTGGTATCATTCGAAGTAAAAGTTTGTTACTTTATTTTACTATTTAAAGTTATTTTATGTTATCAAAATGAGACTGTATGGTGTTTTCTGTGATGGGCCACAGTTTGCCATTGGGATCATCCAGCAGTGACAAAATTAAGATAATAACAGTTACACTTTATTTGCAATGTGTGACTGGGTGCCTGAAACATTTTTTTCCAAGTAATTTGATGTTTTCTTCTCGTTTAATTTTGTCCCTTTATTAATTTGTATATTATTATTATTATTATTATTATTATTATTATTATTATTACTGCCTTTTCACATTAGTATAAGTGTCTGAACAGGTTGTGTGCTGGAGTTCCTCTTCAGCCAGCTCATTGTAAGCCATTGCCTGTTGTTTTCCATCTGTAGTTATTCAATGCAGTCATGTACATGACCGTTCTGTAGCAATAAATGTGCCATTTTTATAACATATTGCTTCCATTGCTCTTACTGCACTTATCTTTCCATATGTCGTACATTTTCACCTGTATCCTGAGGTCAAGGATGTGATGATCCAAATCCCTGTAAGGCCATTATCTGAATCCTGGAAAAAAACACACAAACCCACCGGATTGTCATCTCAAACCTATGGTATTAAGATGTAGTCAATCAGCAAATCCATGCATTTTTATATTTTTGGTTACCCTACCAGTTCATGCTGCTGGAGTGCCCAAGAAACCCAGTGCCTGTGCCCCAGTGACACAGTTTTGTTTTTTGTTGGTTTCTGGCATTTAGTGGTGCTGGTGAATAGTGATTCCAGCAGAGTGAGTGCACTGCATTGTCTTTTACATACTCATGGATTCCTTTTGGCGCCCTTCTTTGATTGGCCCCTTCTTTCAGGCCATTTTCTATGTGCAGTGGCAGTTTCAGATTGTTTTCAGGGGAGTGACATGGGAGGGGGGTGGGGGACATGGGAGGGGGGTGGGGGGAAAGGGAAGCCACGAGAAGAAGAAAATGAAGGCTGTCACCACTTCTTTCTAATTGTGTCACATGCGTGCAATAAGGAAAACCATGATTTTGCATTTTGCATCACCTAGTGCCTATGAAAATGGGATGCATCCAATTTAGAGATCTGAAAATGATCTTACAAATCATTTCTGTGAATCACCACTACGCTACTTTAGAGCATACACCAGCTACACCACTGAGACACTCCACCATTTCATAAATTTGAGACTATAAAAATTGGTAAGTTCAGGAGTACAGTGGCAATAACTGAGGAAGTGTACATTATGATTCTACCTACAGCAGGGGTGGCCAATCTTATCCGCAAGGGGACGGTGTGTATGCGGGTTTTCGCCGCAACTCCCTAATTATATTACTAATTAGAGGACTGATTGCCTGAAGAGTCCTCACACCTGGGTTTGAACAGCTGACCTACAGGTTATCCCAAAAACCTGCATACACACCGGCCCTTTGCGAATAAGATTGGCCACCCCTGACCTACAGTGACTGATTGGTGTTAATAAGCTACAATTTTTTTATTCAAATTCACTATAAACACTTTATTCAAATAACTCATATGCTCTACATTTAGAAGCATGCAACAAAGTAATAGAAAAATTTTTAGTCAAAATGATATCCATGCTACTTTTTAAAAAATGCTGTGAATTGGCAGATGCGATGCAAATCCTGGAAACACATGAAAAACAAAACACGCTGCTAATCTCCTCACAACACAATGGAATGTTCCAGTGGACAATGAGAGAAGATAGACCATTAGAGCTGGGTGGTATATGAAATATAGGGATGAAACACTTACCAGTCTCATGGTACACTTTCCAGCAGTTAGTATTACCATTTCAAGTTGTAATTACCGTTAACACCGTAGTTAATTATCATGCTTCAAAAAACTTACTGTAATGTGTAGCAGATGGAAACGGCACAGCAGCAGCAAGAAATGAGGACACTTCTTTTTAAGCTGAAACAACACCTCTTTTTATTAAGTCTTTAATAGCACTAACACAGGCATCAAACGACCGCTGACCATAACTGACGGGGAAGCACTGGGTGGTTTGACGGTAAGGCACACACATGGTGGGTAGTTTACACAATAACTCGACACGTGAGGACCAGACAGAGTTCACGCAAAACAAAGGCAAGCGCCCATACAACAATCAGGAACATAATAAGTATAAACAGTAACACAAACGGGCTATTTACAATATTCCCAGCATGCTGTTGAGCTGTTACTGGGATCTGTCATATTTGGAGCCATCTCACCGGGGCTATGTTACGCTAAACACTGTGCAGGATTAACCAAAGGTAGCAACAATCTCTCAGACACAGGTGCACAGGCACTGCATGCAACATGGGTTTGTTTTTGTGTTGAAAACTTGCCGGAAGGCAGTGACAGCACTGGGGAAATTTGCTGGCATCTAAAGGACCAGGACAGAGGTCTAGCCCTGATTTGGCTCTTTTAAAACTGCAGAAGGAAAAGTGATTGAAGCCGCATTGTCAGAACATGCAGAAAGAAAATATCTACAAAAAGGGGGCGAGACCTCTAATCTTACAAATCATTTCTGTGAATCACCACTCGCTACTTTAGAGCAAATGCAAGGCAAATGAACTGTTAGCTCAATGCATGATGTGTGGAATATTCCACTTTGGGGGAAAATGTTATGGTTTGTCTGTCTAACTTGGTAATAGCTTGTCAGTAATGTAAACTGAATCTTTCAGTGTTATCTACTCTTGTAAAACATTGCACTTTGTCAGCCGGTAATTTTTGCCTATGTGCTGTTCAGAATGAATTCCATGTACGTTTGTATTTGCATGTTCTTGAAATGGAATACTGTTCAAACTAGTTTATTTCCTTAATCTTTTGATTTTACTATGACAGAATATTAGGGCCACATTGAAGGGAAAACAATCTGAGATTTTGAGAATAAAGTCATAATTTTAGGCTACGTGTTATTTTAGAGAGGAGATATTAGAACAGCCAGTTTCAGGACGGAAGTTTAGAGACAGGGAGAAACCCTGGCTGAACAGCAAGCCATGGACCAATACATCTATAAGGCTTTGCAACAGGTATTCATCGGACCCTCCATCTCACCACCTGGGTCTGGCTTCTCCTTAGTGAATGGCATCACAATTAAGAACCACAGAGTGTTCCACCAAGTTGGACCTCCGCATTGCATATAAACTGCTGAGGATCAGGGAGGGTGAAGAATGAAAGACTGCATTTAACACCCCCAGGGGGATTATGAATATCTGGTCATACCCTTTGGACTGTACAATAGCCCAGCAGTCTTCTAATGCATTCATCAGTGATGTCCTCCGTGACTTCCTCGACCGTTTTGTCTTTGTTTACCTGGACAACATTCTAATCTTCTCTGCGTTCCCCTCTGCTGCTTCCTCCAGCACCAGCTCTATATTAACCTTGGGAAGTGCGAGTGTAGCAGTGCGTTGTTCTCTCTGTCATCTCGCTTGGATTCCTCATCTCCCCAGCTGGTATTGAGATGGACCCTGGCAAGGCGAGAGCAGTTTCTGACTAGCTGAAATCCATGTCTCAGAAACACTTGCAGAGGTTCCTGGTCTTTGCTAACTTCGGTGGTGTAGCAGCACCCCTCATGACATTTACCCGGAAAAACGCATCACCGTTCCATTGGACCACGGAAGCAGTTTTGCTGAACTCAAATGCAGATTTATCACTGCATTGGTTCTAAATCACCCTGAACCCCAACGGCAGATCTTGGTGGAGCTCAATGCCTCCAACACTGGGGCGGGGGCCATGCTCTCCCAGCGTGCTGAGGATGGGAAAACACACCTCTGTGCATTTATGTGCTAGAAATTTTCACCTGCTGAATGCGACAATAATGTTGGTGACCAGGAACTACTCACCATCAAATGGGCACCGGAAGAATGGCGGCACTGGCTTGAGGTGGCCTCCCACCCATTTATCATTTGGACCAATCATAAAAACCTAACATATTTGCAGTCTGCACAGCGACTAGATGCTAGACAAGCTCGATGGTCCATGTTTTTTTCACCATTTCAACTTCATTGTGACCTACTGCCCCAGGACCAAGAATATCAAACCAGATGCTCTCTCCCGCCGGTACGAGGCTACCGAATCCTTCGAACTTCTGGATCTCATCTTGCCCGCATTGTTGCCTCTGTGGTGAGGCTATTGGATCACATTGCGCAAGTCCATCAGCAGGAGCCCGACCCTGGGGGAGGACCCCACAGTAGGCTGTCGGTTCCCAGTGAGATGCACAGTCGTGAACTTCACTGGGCTCATGACTTTTGGCTAGCAGGGCACCCTGGCATATATCGCCTCAGAGCGCTTCTGCTGCAGATACTGTTGGCCCTCCATGAAGGCGGACGTCCAGGCTTATGTGCTCGCCTGCTCCATCTGTGCTCAGCAGAAGGTTACTACCCACCGACCAGGCGGTGTATTGCAGCCACTTTCTGTGGTCTCCCAACCTTGGACTTATATTGCCATTGACTTTGTTACTGGACTGCCTGTCTCCTCAGGTCACATGGTTGTCGTGTCTGTCATTGATCATTTTAGCAAGGCTGCTCCTTTTACTGTATTTCCCTGTCCCAGTTGCCCTCAACCAAGCAGACTGCGGAAGCCCTTCTCCATCATGTGGTCCGAGTTTGTGGGGTGCCCATGGATGTGATCACTGACCAGGGGGTCCAGTTCACCTCATCCTTTTGGAAATAATTCTGTGGACTCATAGGAGTGGAGGCTATGTTCACCTATCATCATCCACAAATGGCAGGTCGAATGGCTCCACCAGCAGCGGGGGAAATACCTGAGCTGCTTTGCCTCTGCCAGACCCGAGATCTGGATATCCCTCCTCACCTGGGCGGAACTCTCCCATAATACCCTGCAGACATCAGCTACAGGCATGTCTCCAATGGAAATCCGCACTGATCATCACAAACAGACACATTTATTTTTGTATAGCGCGTTATCACAACATTACATTATCTCAAAGCGCTTTACAGCATCCCCACCCAAAGCCCCCAGTCAGTAAGCCATAGGCGACAGTGGCAAGGAAAAACTCCCTAGAAGGAAAAAACCTTGGGAGGGACCAGACTCAAAGGGGGAACCCATCCTCCTGGGGCTGGCAGGAAGAGACAAATCCTCCTCTATTGTTTCCCAGACAGACCCCTGCTGCCCATCCCAGGCTCTGGTGCGTCGAGTCCATGCGATCTGGAGGAGAGCTTGATGCCAGTTGCGTCATACTTCATGGACCATGGCTGCCAGGCCAAACATCTTCACTGCCCAGTTTGTCTCTTCCATCCAAAGAAAAAGGTATGGCTATCCACACAAAAGTATAACAAAGTCGTCTGTAATATCTCAAACAAATGAAATATCATAAAGAACTGGTTAAAGAAGTCGTCATTCATGCCATTTGATGGTAATGTATTTAAAACAAATATATACCAGGGTTCTCTTCTAAGAAGACGTTTTTCTCG